ATTCGAACCCGCCACCTTAGGTGTACGTGGCTGGCGCCTTAGCCGGTTGAGCTATAGGCGCCGAGCCCATCCAAACACTTTTTAACATTTTATGTTTAGGAAAGGAATAACACTTGTCAGCTTTAATATGGAAGTTAGATTATTCATTACTAAGCCCCTGAATAAGTTTGTCAAAATATAAATTGTCAGGAAAATATTTAAAGAATAAGTCAGCAATGACCTCTTTTAGCCAATGTTAATGGCCTTTTCTTAGTTTTCCACCATCTTTCATTCCTGGGAGAAACTAAATTTTGCCAGGCCTCCCCCCATCCTCTTGAAATTGTCCCTTTGGCCTCTGTGATATTGCACTTTCCAGATCCTCCCTATGGGCTTCCCTGTCCTCTGTTGATCCTGCCCCTTCCTTCCTTCATCACCTCAACTCTTGGCATCCCTCAATAATTTGTCCTTGGCTGTCCTTCCTGGCATCACTAAGGAGTTCATTATGTCACCAGGTCAGCTGTTTCAGTGTCTCAAAATTACATACTCAACCTTCACCTCCTTGCTAACTGGACAACTCTGTGTATCTACCTTGGTAAATCTACAAAGCTCAAAACATAACTTACTGCACCCTCACCTTCCAAAAGAACTTTCCTTTCTAACAACCTAGCTGGTGCTACCACCAGTGTGGATTCCCCAAGAGTTCATGTTGCCTGTTTGCTTTTCTTTGCCTCTTATCCAGCTCCTCAATACTTCAATTTATTTGTCCATGGTCCATCTGAGTTATGCTAGCCACCAAGTCTGAACACCTCTGTCCAGCCTTCCCATTTGTGGGGAATCCAGGCTCAATCTACTCAATCAATGTGTGCTTCTCTCTAGTTCACCACCTCACCTCATGCATGTTATTCTTATCTTGTTTTCTTGATGCTTCTGCTGCTGGGAAACTATCCCTCCCTTCTTTCCAAGCACCATCTCAACAACCCAAAGCCTTCCCATCTTACCTAGGGTGAGTAAACTGATGTTTCCTGGAGTGTCACACTAGTCAAATGTTCATATATATTGAGCCATAAAATAATTATTATAATAGAACCTCTGTAAGTTGACCACCCAAGAGACCATAACAAACTTTTCAACATATGGAGGCGGTCAACATAAGGAACTAGGCCTACTATACTGGTAAGTACATGTGGTGCATGTCTGGTTTATGAAAATTAGGTTAAGGTGGTCAATGTAGAGAGGTGGTCAACTATAGAGGTTTCCTTTTTGTATATTTTGTAGAATATGTCAGTAAAATAGCTCATTATATCCTCACATGATATACAAACAGGTAATAAATATTCATGGATATTGAAATGGGATACCCATTTCCTCTAAATGCAAGGTTGGTGAAGGAATTTTTAACACAATTACCATAATAACTATTTCAGTCCTCTCCCATCAGAGGTTGCGACTTGGATCAGTGGCACAAAGGACCTTGTTTGCTTGAGTTCCTCACCCAATTCTCCACTATCTTTCATCTCACTGCCCTACCAACAAACACACACACACAAACACATACACCAATGTGTCTTCTGTAAGAAGCTATTGAAGAAACAGCTCTCATGTTTTGTTTAAAGAGCCTGCTATAAATATTTTCATTAAAGTCCAAGCCCAAATACCAACTATCTGAAATTTCTGACTGTTCTATATTGAAAACTATTAAATACTAAAAATAAAACATCTGATAGTAAGTAAGCGAGAATCCCACAGAGTGATATGAAACACTTACCCTTCTCAGAAAGAATTTCAGGAGCTACATAAGTCGGAGTGCCACATACAGTAAATATAGGTCTCACCACATGCTTCGCAAGTCCAAAATCAGCCAATTTCAAAGTGGTAGATTTGTCCTCATTCCGCTGAACCTATAAGAGACCAAAATCCCTCAAACCATAGAAATAGTAATGAGAACAAAGAAGGAATACTAAGGAGACAATAAGTATGTAAGGTCAAATAAGCAAACAATAAACCTATATGAGTTTAGGTTAGCCCAACACTGACAAATACATTTGACCTCAGTGATAAGTGCTCACATTTACAACTAAAACACCAATGGGTTGGATATACTGTGTCTAATATGGTAGCACCATACTGTCATAAGTGGCTACTTAAATGTATTAGTTAAAACTAAACTGAAAATTCAGTTTCTCAGCTGCACTAGGCACCTTTCAAGTGCTATGGCCACTCTCGCTTACGTATATCATTTTAGACAATGCAGATAGAGAACGTTTCCATGGTTGTACAAAGATCTATTAAACAGCATTGAGTTAGAACAAGGATAAATCATACTTTTAGCATACACTAACTTTAATTAAAATTAGAAAGTGCCTATGAGTGCTGCAAAGGCTGGGCAGGGGGGAAAAAGGGAAGAAAAACAATTAGAAATTAAAATGAAGATGCAGACTAATAAGCAGGAGAAGGATGTTAAATTCAGGCTCTAATTAGGAGGCATGGGGGACTAAGAATTAAACAGGCCAGGAGTCTTTGAGTAATTCAGATCCAAGACTACACTTTAATAGACTTGGACAAATTTCTTTACTCATCTGAGCCTCTGTTTCCCATTTCTTAAACAAAAGGAGTGGATTGGAAGTGATAATTTCCAGTAAATAGGCTTATGTCAGGAATTCCAGTCAATGTTTGTAGTCTACCTAGCATAGGGTGACCAGTAGTCCAAATTAGCCTTGGCCTTCTGCACCAGGCTTTAGGGGAGAGTAGCATTAGTCATTTTTTTAAATAGAAAAAAGACCCAGATACTCTCACTCTGAATGAATACAAAGACTCAACTCTTTCCTCCTTGACCCCATCAAAACTTATCCTCCCTGAGTTTCAATCCTTCTAACAAGCCCAGGTAACTGGCCCCCTAGTGTCTAGTAAGCCAATTCCCACTGCCAAGACAGTATGTCCTGTCCTCCTGCACCCTCAAGGTATTTGAATGTATAAGATGATGATTGTTAGGAAAAGTTAGGTCTTAACCTAAACAAATGAATGTCAAGAAGTAGGCAAGCATAGCAACCATTTATGTCACTATGCAAGAAATAATAAAACAAAAGGTATTTATGTTTCTCATGAAAAAAGAAATAAACGAGCAAACAACGATGAGGCAAACCCAGTATATCTCGTAGCAAGTAAAAGATGCACTGGTATCCCAAGCCATGGAAGCAGTTTTCCATTTGGGAGAAAGGTTAAATAATTAGGCACAAATCTAACTCTGGCCTCCTTCAATACTAGCTAGCACCCACACAAGTAAGGTTGAAGAACAACTGTTCAGCATCTCATCATAGAAGCTGATTGTTCAGACTAAAGGTGAACTAAGCAGTTAATTAGACCACTATGCCAAAACTTACTGGCATAAATCTGGACAAGCTTATCCACTCTCACTGATGTCTCCACAGCTAAAGGAGAATTTATCAACTTATCTGCAGGTACACACTGTCACACCTCTACTGGAACTGAACAAAGGTTCCCAACCCTGCTACCACATTTGGGGGCAGGCAGCAATGGGTGAACTGTGCTTCTCCTTGTGTCCCATCAGAGCTGACAATGGTGTGGGTTGGCCATTCTCCCAGTCACTCCAGGCCAGAGTAAGTTTTATCCACACTTGCTTTGGTTCCTTCCAGTGAGCTTGCATTGCTATAAGCAGCGTGTGTCTTAATTACTGAGCCTGATTCATTACCAGACAATCTAATCAATGTCTCCATAATTAACCTAACCAAATGGAAAACCATAAATTTAGAATTTATATGAAAATCTGTTTGATGTGGGTATAGAGACAAGCATATCCCAAAAGGGGATCACAAGGGTAATTATCAAAATAATTTAGGCTAGAAAATCTAGTTTGGAAGGAAAGGAAAACAAAATAGTGTGGTGTCTAGAATTACCAGATGGATGAACCACATTAAACAAATTTGCTGGGTAATTTCTGATAAAATATGTCCCTCACAAATATTTGTAAATATTCCCAACCAAATAACCAGCATTAAAATCATTTGGCTGATTTAATATGCCGAAATAAGATGTGTATGCCTGTTGCAAAATAACTGAAACATTTCCTTCCTCATGGAAACTCCCAATTCCCAACCTGGCTTCACTGACACAGTAGCAGATTAAATACTTTGAAAACTAGGACTTTTCTTTTGAAAATTTATTATGCTAAATGTCCAGATACTGATGGATATATTTTCAAAATGCCAAATTTCTTTTTAAATTGTTTTATGGGCTATGTAAAAATATATTATGCCTCTTCATGGTTCAGCTTTTCTCTCTCTTTTTTTTTCTTTGCAGTTTTAGGCCAGAGGCTGGGTTTGAACCCACCACATTTGGTATATGGGGCCAGTGCTCTACTCCTTTAAGCCACAGGCACGGCCCGTTCAGCTTTTCTCTTTGAGTCTTGGGATCATTCCTTGAGCATTAACAATCACATATGAACCCAGGAGTGGTTAAGATCAGTGGTGTCATTTGGCCCTTCCAGAAAGTGTTTCCATACTGCTTCGTGTTTTTAATAATTCTGTCTCCAGTTTGTCAGGAGTTATTTAATATTCTTCAGTGTTATTGTTTATTTCACCTACATAAGCAGTTTAATACATTTAAGAGCATACACTGCATGAGTTCTTTGGTTTGTTTTTTTCAACAGGTACCGCACATTCGTAGCTTCAGAATAGTTCCTATCTTAATCCTTGAAATTAAATGAGTGATGTTCTCCTGGAATAATTTTTCCTCCTAGAATCTGTGGGGCTTCTTAGAACATCAAATTCAAACCTTCACCTAAACCAAGATCCCTAAGCCCTAGGTTATGGACTGGTACCAGTCCCTGGCCAACTAGGAACCTGGCCACACAGCAGGTGGTGAGCAGCAGCCAGGGGAGCAAAGATTCATCTGTATTTACAGACACTCCCCAAAATATCACCACCTGACCTGTGCCTCTCATCAGATCAGCTGTAGCATTAGATTCTCATAGGACCATAAACCCTACTATAAACTGCACATGTGAGGGACCTAGATTTGTGTAGTCTTTATGAGAATCTAACACTTGATGATCCAAGGTAGAGCTAAGGTGGTGATGCTACTGCTGGGGAGCAGCTGCAATGCATATTATTAGCGGAGAGATCTGACTGCACGAGACCATAATAAGTCAATTGCCTGCAGACACATATTAAAACCCTATCAGTGAGTGGCAAGTGACAAGCTGTATCTGGTGGCAAGGTTTTTAATGGCAGATGAGCATCTTCAATTGCAAAGCTGCATCTGGTAGCAGGCTTTCTTGTGGCAAGTGAATTGATGTACTTCAGTTGTACAGCTATATCTGGTGCCAGGATTTAACTCAGAACCCAACACTTACTTTAGTCTGCACCTGGCTCACCCATTATTTTATTTACTACTTCCATCCACGCCTCTTTCCCATGCTTCACATTTGTCTCAGTCATGGTTTTGGTAAACACACAAGCTAACCCCAGCAAAAATGAGTAAAAAGCAAACATCTCTGGAGAGCTTCTTTGAAAAGGGGGAAAGCCCAAGGATGAGACAGCAGAAGACCCTAAGACAACCAACAAAATGAAATGTAGAGGATGCCAAGAGACAGACGACCTCTAAGCAAGATGATTTACAGCTGAGGGGTGGACTCTCGGGTGGCTTGTCCACAGGAGCTCCTTATGGAGAAGGAGCCCGTGCCCTCAGCACGTAGTCATTGTTAATTACTCCCCTCACCTGAATCATTCCATTTCAATAAAAGGCTGGTGTGGAGGTTGCTCGGGACTACCCAGAAAGTAAGGGCTAGCCCACCTTCTACAAGCTTGTACTTCTAATCCACCTCTCACCTGGTTCCTTCCTGCACTAACCTAGACCAGAGCCATAGGAGCCCAATGGGTCGTGACAATGAAAGTTTCATTTGAAAGAAAATACCAAGAGTCCTACTTAAATTATGGGTTCACTGCAACAAGCGATTCATATTCTCCAAGCCCATTTTGTATAATAGGTGGCAACCAGCTATCTAACAAAGCCAGAAAACCTTCAAAATAGCTTTGTCACATGGACACCAAGCACCCTGCATTAAAAGGCAAGCCTTTGGGGTTTTTCAAAAGAAAAAAATGTGAAGATGAAGAACAGCAACAATTATTAAAGGCTACCATTGCATCAAATGTGTCTATACTGAGAGCATCATTCTTAGAAGCTATCCACATTGCAAAAGCTAAGAAGCCCTTTAAAAGAGTTGGTCCTAGCCAGGCATTGTGGCAGGCACCTGTAGACCCAGCTACTTGGGAGGCTGAGGCAAGAGGATCATTTGAACCTGAGAGTTTGAGGTTGCTGTGAGCAAAGTCACCACCACACTCTATCAATCTACCAAGAGTGACAAAGTGAGACTGTGTCTCAAAAAAAAAAAAAAGAAGAAGTAGAAGAGTTGGTCCTGTTAAAGGATGTTATCCACAAACTTTCAGGAGAGGCTGCAGTACAAAAGGTGGCACATGTTCCTCCTTCAGCTAGTACCATAACTAGCTGAACTGATGAAATAGCAGAGCATAGTGAGGCATAATTGTTAGAGATGATTAATAAGTCACCACAGTACAAAGTCCAGGTTTGACAAGTCTACCAATGTTGACAAGGCAAGCATGCTTTTTATGTGATATATATATATATATATATTTTTTTTTTTTTTTTTTTTTTTTTTTT